AATATTCATAATAAAACAACGTACAATAAAACTAAAAAACATATAAAATTATAAAACTGTAATATTATATTTAGAAGTGGTTTGATTTAATTTTATTTTTAATTAGAAAAATAAATATAAAAGAACTATTTTTTTTTAAATAACATTTGATTTAGAAGTTATTATTTTTTAATGAAAAACAGAAAATTATTTTAATTCGTATGAGTGATCTAATATAATAGCATCATTGGTAAAAACGCATATATATTAAAAAAATAAAAAATTTACAAAAATAGTTTATCAATTTTATTGTTCAAAAAACAAACAATTTTTTCCTTAGAAATAATTTTTTACTAACAAAATTTGAGATGAAATAAGTCATAATGAAAAAAATATAGATAACTTTTTTGAGGATTTGTAGGGGTAGATTTCATTTGAAAAAATTGTACAATAACTTAATCTTTTAAAAATCTTTACACTTCCTTTAATACAAAGTATATTATATATATAAGTTATATAGTATAAAACCAACCGTTGTTAGTTTGCTTAAGAATATAAATAAATATATAATAGGTGAGATTAATAATGATTTAATATCGTATAAGATTTTAATTTAACACCAATTGAATATATATATATATATATATATATATATATATATATATATATATATATATATACTTAAATAATTATGTGACATCTCCTCTAAATTAAAGAAAATAAGAAAACTAAGGTTGGTAACTTGGGTTTCTATATGTAAGACTAAAAATAGTCATGTCAAAATTTAACTTATAGAATGACACTTTATTTTAATTTGAAAATAGTGAGAACGACTCATGTCACCAATTAGTTGATTTTGTTATTGCGTTTTTTCATACAGAAAAAATTAATACGAGTAAGACATAAATTTAATTCATGCAAGAGTTTTATATATTTTTAACTCAAAATTTTTAAGATATTAAATTGTGAGTCATATTTTTTTTATTAATTTTTTAATTTTTGTTTAAGTTGAAACTTAATTCACTTAGATTACCTAATAATTATTTAATATTAATTATTGATATATATATATATATATATATATATAATATGGTCAAAAATCTTCTTAATCAAATGAGAGGTTGAGAAAAGACCCTCATAATATATTTGTTGAACCATATTATTTAAATTAAAATGAAATATGATATTATAAGTGATTAAAATGTATAAATTATTGTTTAAATTTGCATTATACAGTGAATATTTTTCCTTTTAAAACTCACATGTATATTTACGTGAGTATTTTTTTTTCGGTGATGATAATATAATAAAATACATGTTAGCTAAGTCCATGAATAATTAAGGTACATTTAAAAAAATATATACACTAATGAGTTATAAGTGAAAAATATTTAAAGATATTTTTAGTTATAACTTATCAATGTATTTTAATTTTTTTTATAGTTAAATTTTTTATTTGGGTTAAAGATACTTTTTTATTTCAATTTTATTGTTAAATTTATTTTAATTATTATATTTAAAATTGCTTAATTCGTTTATCAGCTTATAAAAATATATTATTTTAATTAATTTTTATACTTAAATTTAATATTTAGAATTTTTTTAATAAAATTGATAAAATAAAATATGATTTAATTTTTTATATTAAAATTTAATATTTAATAACATATTTTTCATCATAAATTTTATAAAAGACTAAATTCATATATTTTTCAAAATTTGAACATCAAATAATTAATTTTAAATATAAACACTAAAATTAAAATATGACAATATATATATATATATATATATATATATATATATATATATATATATATATATATATATATATAAACCGTATATTTAACTCTATTTATTTATTTTAACTCAATCATAGGGAATAACAAATTGATATTATTATTATTACTCATATAAGAGTAAATTTCATTTATCTTTTTATTTTTTTAAACATTAAATTTAAGAAAAAAATTAAATAAAAAGGTGATTAATTCAATTTTATAAAATTAATTTAGAAATTGATATTTATAAGGACTTTAACACTGATGATAATTTTAACATAATTTTTTTCCCAAATATATGAATGATTTAAACACATTACTTATATCGATGATAATTATAATGAATATTATATATTTTAATTTTTGTATTTATTTATAATGTTGTAATAAATTTATATTTAGTTCAGATTGATTATGTAAAAAATTATATTAATTATTTTATTTAAGTGGATTGTTGAGTAGTGATTTGAGGAAATAAATTTGTGATGATTTAAAATGAATTATGACATTATTTGAATTGAAAAAAAATAAATAATAGAGTTGAAGAGAATTGAATAAATTAATTATATCTTTGATGAAATTGAATATAAAAAAATTAATAATAATTTTTTTAGTTTAATAACCAAAATATCAAACTGATAAGTTAAGTAAAAATAATAATTATAATATAATTGAATATAAAAATATTAATTAGTTTTATTATACATAATATTTAAATATATTAATATTTTATATATATAAGTATAATTAAACTTATTTTATATATTAAACGTAAAATATTTTTGTTGTAATTTAAATTATATATTTAAATTTTTTTATTTTAAATAAATATTTAATAAAAATAAAATTGTATTACCTTGATAATAATTTATAAATTAGCGTAATTATTTTAATTTTTATTTCATATTATCTATAATAATTAAATTACATTGAAATAAATTTTTAAAATTAGATATCTTAAAATTTAATTTAAGTGAATATTATATTAATTTTAAAATTATTTACTATTTTATAAATTTATCGATTTGATAAAATATAATATTTTATTATTTTTCTAATTTTATAAAATTTATTTTTGTCATGTACATAAATTTAAAAAATATTTTCATTTAAAATAAAATCCAAAACATTACTAAGTGGATTGGACACATTATAAAATAAAGTATAAAAATATTTAAAATTTAAAACATAGGAATATAATATTAAGGAGTAAAGAATAATGCAAAAGTGAAAAAAAATTTAATCATAATCGAATATGTTAAATCATATAATTGATTATGAAAACTTAATTGATTATTGAAAACTTAATTAATCCAATTGACTAAGTTATTATTGCAACACTAATATATATATATATATATATATATATATATATATATATATATATATATATTTCTTACAAAATGATTTCTTGTTACATTTTTTTCAACCAATTATTTGAATATAAAACTAACTAAAAATATTAATAGAAGCAAATAATAAAACTAATTTCATTTAATTTAAAAAACATAATTAATTAAAATAATTTTATTCCAATTTAAAAATTAAAATTTCAATAATTATAATTATAAGAGTTTAATTATTAATATATGTTTTATATTATAAAATTTAAAAAATTATAAAAAATAATTAATGTCACCATTATATTTAATTAAATCATATTTTAATAGTCTTTTTGATGTATCCTCTAATATTATTTTTAATGCAAATAAAAGAGTTGCATATTTTTAGTAATAAAATTGATGTTTGTAATTAAATCATAATTAATTTTTATTTTATATAATTTAAACTATATTAGTTATGTTAGAAACATAATCATTACATGATTATATAAAATGTAATAGATTATTTTCTCTTTCATAATCAATTTTATTTATTTATTTATATATAATAACTTATTATTTATTTTTTATATTAATTGATAATTAGGGGGTAATAAAGACATTTACATTATTACATTTAACTTTCTCTTCAAATCTCTTGTATCTTAATGATTTAAACCTCCAACCAACTTTTCAAACAAATAATGTCATATCAAATTTAAACTACATATTTATTTGTCTGCAAATCCATTTTCTCATCTATTCTACAGAACATCCAAACATAAGCTTTGTTTCATTATTAAATCCAAACATAAGTTTTATTTCATTATTATATATATGTGTGACTAGGATACTAATATGAGAGGAATGTAAGAAAAAAAGTAATTAAAAGAAAATTCTGGTACAGTAGTTGACATATTTTTACATATTATTTAAATAATAATAATTATTATAAATATTAAGACTCAATTATATATTTTTAAAAAAATAGCAAAATATAAAACTGATGTTATTCTTTTAGAAAAGACAATCATTACTTGATTTTAATTCTTTAAAACTTAATTATATATTTTATTACCTATAATAATATTTAATTATAATTTTCTTTTTAAGTATATCAACTTTTTTATTTTACCTTTTAATTATATATATATATATATATATATATATTTGTTTTTTTCTTTTTCTGGTGAGTAATTCCCTATTCTAATTTGGTTGAGAATCATGCAATCATATATAAACATTTTTATTTTATAATAAAAAAACAAAACGATTTTCCATACTCGTTCAGTGTTTAAATAACAATATAATTTAGTCTAAATTTAACAAAAGTATATATTTAAAAAATATATTTTAAATTATTAAGATAAATATTTTAAAAATTATAAATAATTTATTTAATTAAAATATTTTTTTATTATTTAATTATATTAATGATTTTAATAATTTTTTATAAATTTATTTATTTATAATATTTATTTTCTAAAACTATGATAATATTATGATATATTTAATATTATATTAATTTATTTACTTATTTATTAAAAAATTTATAAAAATTTATTTATCATTTAAAATGATTTATTTTAATTTAAATAATATATTTTATCTAAATTATATTATTATTTAAAATAAATTTATGAATATGTTTTAATTTATTTTGATTTTTTATATTTATAAAAAATAATTAAAATAAGAATAATATAAAAGAAAAATAAAAAAATAGATAGTTTTTGTATAAATTATTATATAAAAAATATCACTGTATATTACTGTACAATAATAATGACTGGACACAGGAAAGGACATGGGATGGAGGAATTAAAGTGGTTGTGAGTTTCAAGACTCATGGGGTGAAGGTAACAACGGTTATATTTGGAATTAGGGATTCCCTCTCTTCAATTTTAAAATTCCGGCCATGTCTGCTCTCAGAAAGCGAACCCGAACTGTGGAGTCCCCTGTCATGGCCAACGACGTCACACTTCACCAACCCCAAATCTCTGCCTACGAGCTCTCCAGAGAGCAGAGAATCCGCGAGAACCGTGAGAGAATGGGAAAGTTAGGCATCTTTGACCTTTCTCTCGCCCTCAAGCTCCACAACAACACCAAATCCTGCCCACCTTCTAGATCCTATTCCTCTCACAAACCCAAAACCCCTCCTACTTCTCTCAACCCCTCCGCCCCTGTTCGCCGCTCTTCTAGGTTCTAATCCTAACGATCCACTGTGCAATGCATAATTTTATTTATTCATTTATTTTTGCCCTAAAAATCAAACCTTGTTTTCAGATTGAAGAATGTGACTCCTGTTAGTTACTCTGAAGTTCCTGTCAAGAAAGCTGAGCTTGTAGATCGAGGAAGGGTGGTGATAGAAGAAGGTGCAAAGCCCGAAGTGTACACTGACGAACACCAGAAGCTCTTAGGGAACACCCAGAAACCCTGGACACTCTTCGTTGATGGTTGTGGAAAAGATGGAAAGCGAATATACGACTCCGTCCGTGGTAAAACATGCCATCAGTGCAGGTTACCCTCTCTCACACATACATTGATTTGTTACTGAACTGTGTGAAATCAAAATTGTTAAGAGGAGTGCTATCATCACACTCTCTAATTTACTCTTTATTATTAGTTCACATTTTTTAGAAATCTATTCATTGTTGTATTGTATTCAAAGAAAGATATCTGCTTTTTTACCAAAGGAAGAAAGAAGGAGAGTCTATGGATGCATTTTCAGTTGTTCATCAGTGGTTGGTTAAGAGGTGTATTGACTGTCTTCCATGAACTTATGAATAGTATTTGTTTAAATGTATGATCACTACTATCACTATTTTTACTGTGCACTTGTGTATGAGTATATGACAGTGACACTTTGAACTGTAAGATTGTGTTTGTTTACTTACTGTAAAAGTTTATAAAAACTGTCTTTATTTCTTTTTGTCAGATCTTAGTTTCAAAAAAACATATTTTTACCGGGATTTCATTCATGCCATGAATTTAATTTGATGGTCCATCGGTCTTACTAATTTTGTTCATTTTATTTTCTTGATACACTTTTTCATTGGAAATATTAGGCAAAAAACACTTGGTCACCGCACATTTTGTAGTCAATGCAACATGGTCCAGGGGCAGTTTTGTGGAGATTGCTTATATATCAGGTATGCCTTCGAACTCCAGTTTATTTTCTCTAATACCATGGTGAGAGATGTTGCAGTCTCTCAATTGTGCTGATATGGCAGGATAATGTTGACCGATAGATGCTGTAACCTTATATTTTTAGCAGTATCTTTTGCCAAAATAGACCAATATGGGATGATATGTTATTAATTTTTTTATAAATAATTTTTTTAATAAAAAAATTACTCAAATAGATTTTTACTATTTTATGCTGATAAATTTAACTATTTTTATTTGCTGTTTCTTTTCGGAGAATCGAATTCGAGCTTACTGTGTGTAGCAGAAAATGCACTCAGAATTCCAGCTTATAAGTATATATATATATATATATATATATATATATATATATATATATATATATATATATATAATTTATGCAGTTAAAATTTTTATTAGTTATTTAAAAAAAATAAAGAATTATATTACAAAAGTATTAATATAAGAAAGAAAATAATATTTTAAAACTATTTAGATTTGTTTAATATTTTTAAAAATTAATATTAGTACATTGATATTAATTTGATTCATATAAATATTAGAACGTACATAACAATAACAACAACAAAGAACATATAATTTTAAATTTTATTTCTTAAAATATTGTGAACATAATTCATGTAATTATTCAAGTTAATGGACAAGTAATTCTAAGTCTTTTTTTTTTCAAATTTGTGATAGTATAAACAATGTTTGGATGATTTTAGTGTTCTCTAATATCTATTTTTGATAGTATATGACATGACTTTGTACAATCCTTTGAAGTTTTCTTTAGGTTTGAACACAAAATTGGTGTGTCAAATGTAAGGTGTGACCATAATCTCTATGTCTTAATTCTACAACGTGACCGTAGCAATTACAAGATTGATGTAGTTTGTAAAATAATGATGTGTCATGTAACAAGTATGTTCATGAATTTTTATAGTGAACTGAAATAAGATGTACAAATGAGAATAATCACATTGACTATTCTCAAAATTATATGTGGTAAGAAAGAATTAACTTAATTCTTTCGTTGTGACTATTCTCATTTATGTCTTATTTCACTATACATATTCTGGTGTGATTTAAGTCAATTTATAAAACAACAAAATCTCTTTGACCGTGTTAAATTGGTTGGTATGACTTGACTTCTTTAAATTTGGTCATCAAGATATAGGATTGAACTTGATGATCAAATTTAACGTATTTAAGTTACAAACTCCAAATTTAATATGGTTAAGTCATAGCAATCAAATTTAATTTGGTCTAATAGGCTTTATTTTTTTTATCCTAGTCCAAATTGTTCATAATTTGATTGTGAGGTGGAATAAAACATACAAATGAGAATAATCACAATGATGCACATGAAACAACCAAATCAAGCTATGGAATATGGTTCCTTGTAATTACACGGAATTGTTAGAATCGTGCAGCGGAATGTTTGCGATAGGGACAAAAACCAAGAGGAAAGGGTAAATTGATTTCTTATAAGAACTTTGCCCTTTTAAAAAATTTCGCAAGTTTTACTGATTAAAAGATAACTGAAAAGTAAAGAGATAAGGGAAAGAAGATTACACAGTTGACTTATACTGGTTTGGATCAAAAGATCCTACGTCCAGTTGTTAATCACTCTAAAAGAGGATTAACACAGTCACTAAAATATTGTTTCAAACAATTAACAGATTACAAAAAATAAGAATAAGAAAACACCTCTCTTGAGTCACACAAGAGATGAACACCTCCTTGGATGAAGATAACTTTTCCTAGAGACGACATAACACACAATTTACCAAGAAATCCACTTAGCGATTCTTATCGGTTCTAACCCACACTAGGTTACAAAAACTCTTTTTCTTCCCTATTCAAAGTTCTCTAGCAATCACAACTCTTAACTTTAGTACGAAAAATGTTGTTATTTACAAAGTGTCAGAGGGTTCCTTAAATAGAGATTTTAGGGTTTAGAAAATTAGAGTTTTTCAAAATTAGGTCAGTAGTTTGAAATTCAAAATCATAACTGACACAAATAATCGATTATCATAAGGGATAATCGATTATTCCAGAGTCAATTTCGCAGAATACACATTTTAGCCAGGATAATCGATTATCAACAGTGATAATCGATTATTCTAGAGACTTTCAGACACCCAGAAGAGCTAAGATAATCGATTATCACGAGTGATAATTGATTATCCACTTATCACATTGGATTTTAGATAAAAACGAACTTTTAATGAATAGACTGCGTGCTGGCTATCTTGAACTCTATTTATACATACTCAAAATGATAAAACAGGGTTATTACAAGTAGATATAACTATATATGAGTCTTCAAATCTTGAAGTTCTTTGCCTCTAAAGCATCATCAAAATCTTCAGGCATTATATCCTTATATTTTCAACAGGAATGACAAAAGATCTCATTAATTCCCTTTTACAAGTCTGTTACACTACTCACATCACAACCAGTAACTTCCTATTCCAAAATTAGTATAAAGAGGACTAGCCAGTAACTTTGTAATGTGGAATTTTAAGGACTGTCTAAATCATATTATTCCTATCTTTGCTCAATTTATGTTATCTTCAATATCATCTTCTAGTTTGATAAAAATAATTGATAAATTGTTTTAATTGAAATCCCATATAGATTAGATATACAATTAAATTGTAATATATAAGTGATGTTTGAACCTCATTTATAAATGGATTTCGAAGTTTAAATTAAACTTATATTCACATTCTAAGATAATATCAAATATCAAAACTTATTGTAGCATTGTATCCCACTTATATTCTGAACACAAGATAGTGTGTTGGAAATTGAAAATTGCTTATTTCCTTAATGAGAGATGTGTTGAAAAGTTAGAGATATAAGTTGAAATATACAAGTGGGGTTACTTTATATGTTAATGATGATTATCGGAGGCTAATCTTAAATTTGTATACATCCATACACAGCTGAAACTTTCAGTACTGCTAAAGCCCAGAATTATATCCAAGAAATACCTAGATTATGCTTTGAATATTCTGTTTGGAATCTTTTATCCTTAATATTTCAGTAAATTATTATACTTCATATATATTTGAAAATATTGTTATTGCTTGTTTAGTTTGAAAAAGAACCCACCCTTGGAATTTATGATTTCTCATGATGCTCCGACCCAGTGCTTCATTTCCATTATTCTTCTTTTGTAGATATGGGGAGCATGTACTTGAAGCCATACAGAATCCAACTTGGCTATGCCCCGTTTGTCGCGGAATTTGCAACTGTAGCTTGTGCCGCCAAGCCAAAGGATGGGCCCCAACTGGCCCTTTATATAAAAAGGTTATACCAAAATTTGTTTTACCATAATGTTGTTTATCCGAATATTGAATTGAAGCTAAGTTCAAGTCTCCTTATTTTAGATATCGGCTTTGGGTTACAAATCAGTTGCACACTACCTTATTCAAACCCGGCGTGCAGAAATGGATGTGGAGAAAAATGCAGATGCTTCCAACTCAGTTTCTGCAAAAAGGTCACTGCCCTTCTCTGATGTGGACAACAAGTCTCTTGAGTTCAATGAGAATCATCTGGGATCATTGAAGCCTCTTGCTGAAACTGAAGCTGATGGTGCTGAGGTTTCAACAAAGAGATTGCTTTTTTCTGATGAGCAAGATCAACTTGAAAAGATTGAGTGTTCAGATACCCCGAAACCGCTTCAGCTTGAAAAAGATGAGTGTTCAGATACCCCGAAACCGCTTCAGCTTGAAAAAGATGAGTGTTCAGATACCATAAAGCCTCTTTCTTCTTCCTCCCAACCAAGCTCAGACTGCATTGCTGGAAGACTTAGGTCTAGGGTCAAAAAATCATGAGGACTTTTAGTTTTCTCAAACTAACCTAGGGTATATGTGCTTACTTTCCAAGAAAAAGCATTACCATTGAGATCACTGGTGTTGGTAATTTGGCATAACTTTTTTTGTTATAGTAATGGTAATATGTGCTCCGATCCATTATTATAATTTGAATTTCTAACATGTTAGTTAAACGTTGATCCATTATTATAATTTGAATTTCTAACATGTTAGTTAAACGTTGTCCCAAATACTTTTTATGCCATTCGCCTCGTCTGCTGAACAAAAAGATAGTCCTGATCTAATTCTTGTCGTCACAATTTTACATTTAACAGATATTGATAGAGTATGACATAGAATATTGAAGCTTCTATTTTTAATGACTTATTCAAGTTTTAAGGTTATTCAAGAAGTCCAATGATTGTATTGATTAATCATGTGAAACAGCAAAAATTATTTTGATTTATAAATGTGATGATAACATGTATTTTAATGGTGTTAATATATGTATAATATAAACTATAAAAATTTAATAATTTCAATTTATTTTTTTCATTGATTATATCAACATATGAATTAGTCTTAAAATAATTTTTTAAAATTATGAGATAAATATATATATAATATAATCATTTAAGCAATTTTTAAAGAATATTAAACTAAATTCATATAAATTTGAAATATATATTATTTTCGTATCCTAAGTTAAGTTAATTAAATTGTTTATCAATAATTATAAAATTAATTTATAATAATGTAATAATATCGATATCAATAAATAATTTAAAAAGATAAATTTTATTAGATTTGGCAGAATAAAATATAATTTTAAGTTTAAATTTTACACCATTTAATAACAATATATATTTTAAATTTTGTTTCATTTGATAATCGTAATTGTAATATTAACTTTTTGTATTATTAAAAAAAATTAAGAATCATGTAATAATGATTGTAATATTAGTGTGCTATTTTTATATTAGTTATTCTAAAGGAAGAAAATATATATTTAAAATATAATTATTCTTTTACAATATATATATATATATATATATATATATATATATATATATATATATATTATGATAAAATATTTTTGAAATAACAAAATAATTTTTACTTAATCTAACATATTTATTGAATAAAATTATATATGTAGTAAAAAAATAATTTTAAAGATAAAAATATGTTCAAATAATATATCATATTTTATTTAAAGTAAAACAAAACAAAACGAAAAATAATTAATACATTTTAATGTATTTAATTATCACAATTAAATTTGATTACAAATAAATTTAAAATATTTTGAATTCAAATAATCTTAAACAAATAATTCAATAATATTAAGAACATGAAATATTATTTTAGCAAAAGTATATAAAAAATATATTTTTAATAAAAATAAATATTTCTTAATACTCTTATAATCAATTCTATCGATAAAAAATCTAAAAAATAAAAATAGTTAAATACAATATTAATTTATTTACTTAAGTTTTTTTTTTCCATCTACTCCATGTTTATGTCTTTTTTTATCTATGTCTTTTGCTTTTGCCTCTCCTTTCTAACTTATTTTTCTAATTAAAATTATTATATTGAAATTTAATAAAAATATGTTAGAGTAAATATTTTTAAATTAGAATTAAAACTAAAAAGATAACAACTAATTATTTAAAATTATGATAACAGCAAAAATTATTTATGATAATATAAATAATTAATTTAAAGTTATTTCATCATAATAAATTAATTACTTATCTAATTAAAAAAATATAAAATTTAATTAATTAAATATATTTTTTATTTAATAATTTAATCTAATTATAATTAGGTTGAATAACAATGATTAGTCATATTAGATAATTTAAAAAAAAATATTGGTTAAAAAAATTTACTTCAAAATATTTATTTAATAGTCATATTAGGTAACTAAAAAAATATATTTACTAAACAAGTTTTTTTGAAAAAAATATTTTTTTTAATAATTATAACATAATAATATTCCTAACATCTAAATTTTATCATATAATATTTTTAAATGATTTAAATAGTTTTATTTTTAAAATATTAAAACACTCGTTCTATCATATTTCAATCTAGTATTTTTAATTAGAATAATAAGAGTGAGAGAAAACAAAAGAGTGTGAGAGAAAAAAAACCAACACTAAATAAGAGAAAAATGAATAATAGTAAATAAATAGAGAGAAAAATAAAAATATAAGTGAAAAAAAAAGAAAATTATTATATTATCTCGTATGTATTTATTTTTCATTATTAAACTGTGTGTATCAACAATAAGTTTAACCTCAATCGATTTTAATTTAAAGTTTGTGAAAGAGACTCATTTCCATACATCAATTATTGGATAGGAGAAGATAGAAAGAGACACACATTATTATATATCTACTTGAACCCCTTCACTTTATCATATGTACAATTTTTATTTATATATATATATATATATATATATATATATATATAACTATTTTATTTAATATTAATTGATTTTAAATTAAAATATATTTTAAATGATTAAAATGTATACAATATTATTTAAAATATATATTATATAGATTATGTGAATATTTTCCCTTTTACTCCAAGAATGTATATTCATGTGTGAGTTTTTTTGGTAGATAATAATTAGAGAAAAAAATGTAATGAAAACTATATTTTTTATATATTGTGTTGAAAACATTGTTATTTTGATTTAAATTGCATCAGGTTTAATTGAAAAATATAATTCTTTGTAATAGTTAATTTGTAAAGTTATCTAGTCAATTGTTATTCTCTTCACCATAAAATACTAAAACTGTCTCTAAGAAAAAGAAATTTATAACATGTTAGCAAAATGAATAATAAAGGTACATTTACGAAAAAAAATACACTAATGAGTTATAAATGAAAAATCTTTGAAGATATTTTTAGTTATCCCTTATTAATCCATCCTAACAAAAATAAAAATAACTAGGGTGTGCAATTTATTGCATAAAATTTATAGTTAATTTCTGAATGTATGTAATATTAAAGGTCGAAATTTTTTGTTTGAGTTAAATATATTTTTGATTTTTTTTTCTAACTTTTATGTTAACTATTATATTTTAAATTGATTAATTATTTTTCAGCTTATAAAAATTTGATATTTTAACTAGTTTTTATATTTAAATTTAATATTTATAATTTTATTTTAAAAAATAATAAATTAAAATATGATTTATTTTTTATATTAAAATTTAATATTTAATAACATTTTTTATCATACTGTTTATAAATGACCAAATTTATATATTATTTTTTTTTAATTTAAAGATTAATTAATTAAATTTTAAATATAAAATTATAATTGAATTATGAAAAAAAAAACGCAGAAGGCGAGTAAGAGAAACTTTAAATGGATAACTAAACACCACCAACCAACTCCGGTCCTGTTTTGCTAAATTCCACTATTTTTTCTTTCAAAAATATCTCAAAAATCCTTTCATCTAAGATAAAAAACTTTATAGAATATTTCTATGTCCCGGAAGATGCCTAAATCTCCGAAACATACAGTCATCTCTTGAGTCCTTATAACATTTTCAAGAGACAAAAATCTATCATTAGATCTATCTTCCGACTCATCTTTATCAAAAGACTTCAAGTCAAAGAGTATGTCAAATCCTCCAAGATGGACCAGTGTGTCCTTGCCTTCACCACAGAAAAACAATACGTCAACATCGAGATCCCCAAGGATCTCATAAGGAACTGACAAAACAAATGATACACTTATCTCCACTACGGACTGTATGATTAGTCTTTTTTCTCCATGGAAGACGGGGACTACTCTTCTTAGTAAGAGTCTCTCTCTTGGACTCTAACTACCTCCATTACGAATATGTTGTCATTGACACTATTATGACTACTCTCCTCCATGCTGGAAGTATAATCCTGATCATCTTTCCCAACTTTAACGTCAGCTTAAAAGATTCCACCATCTCTCAGAGATTAAAAATTTAGATCCAAATCACTGGAGCTGAACAAGTAGCTGATGCACTATCAGCTACCCTCCATCATCATCAGATTATCTACAAGTAGTTGATGCACTATTTGTCTTGGCTAACAACCAAGATAAAAAACCCTTCATAGTTTAGATCTCCAGATATATCTCTCAATAAGAGTTGTAGAAGTTGATTCCAATCCAGTGGGTGACCAACTATGAGAAGCTCCACGTTAACCAAAAACCTATCCAGTTCACTGAGGTAACTTTCAGAAGATCAATAGACGATACAGTTAAGACCATCTTAAAAAATCTTGAAGATGTTCCCAGTTCGAGCATGTCTATCTTCCAGTCTATGATGATAACGTCGGTCACCAAAGAAGGCAAGATCTCCATTGCCAGCGTACCCTGATGGTAAACCTATCTTTACTGATAAGATAGGAGACACCAGTGATGAGGATAACGATGACTTAGACGATGAAGATGATGACTACAGAGGAGGATCATACAAACCTCCTTTCTCTCCTAATAGAATATTTGAACTAGGAAAAAGTCCTTGGATAAGACTCCATCAGCAAGAGAAACCAGATCCCTCTTGAAAATACCAGCGATGTGCTGAGATTCTTAATGAGGAAGGTTTTCTCTTCCCAAAACATGGAAGATGCAAAACCTTTGTCATGTCACCTCCTGTTGCTCCTTCTATCCCATACATGATTATCAACCCGACTGCTTACGAAGAAGAATTTCCTCTTCTTGAGAGGAATGTTGATCTCGTGTCCAAGATGACAACTAAACCACACGTTGTCGGATAAGAAGTGGATCATGATGGAAAGACGAAACCCTTAAGCTAGGCGGCTGAGGAAGTACTCAATTGGCAAATAGAAAATGCCAGAGTCCAAAACTTTATCTTGCAATGGATAAACCAAAAGATAGATAAGATCTCTACACATTGAAAAGATTGATGAGTTCCAACATTTCAACTTCAACTTGAGAAAGTACTACAAACAACTTTCCTCATAATTCTCAAGCCTAGAAGAAGATTGGA